AGAAGTTTATTTTCTTGTTCTTAATGTTTTTTTCTTGTTTATTAACTTATTATGAGCACCTTGAATACAAAAAAAGTTATTATTTATAAAAGGCTTTATACGTGGTAGAGCTACACTGCAGACCTATGTTATGGTTTAATCACGAATGGGTCGTCTCAATCGAGGACTACGCTCTCGCAGTATACCAGCACAAATTGGCGACTTAATGCTATTGTGTTTCGTATGGTGTCGTAAGAGGCGAAAGGAAAAAATCCGGAGATAGGCAGCAGCGTCTTCTTAATAACGATTTAAAGTGAAAAGTTGCTTCTGACAATCCGCTTGCCAAGCGTGGCAACTATGGCAAATATCCCCCTATGAGGCAATCTATGGGGAAGGCCTATGTTCTTCAATAGGCTGCTGTGACGGTAACGGTAAATAAACAAATACAACAAAATATTGGTTAACAAATATGGAATAATGTAAGGGCATAACTATATTGCTTAAAGCACTTACGCCAATAAAGTGAAGTTAACTGAGAAAATAATCATTGTAATAAAAATATTATGTTAACCATATACTTATTGGTGTTTGTTTTAATAAATGATATATTGGCCCCGTAGGCGACGTAAGAGTCGACAGAGGATAACAAATCAGGAGATCAGCAGCAGCGTCATCCCAACAACAAATAACAACTAAAAAATGAACTACGGTTGCCAACCCACCTGCCAAACATGGAAAATATCCCGCTGACGCGTCTACTTTTGATACGCTGAAACGGTAACATGTCATCATCATTATCAATTCTGAGAAAAAGAGAATAATTAGCCCCATCAGGCTGGCAGATTGGTAATTAAAAATGGCACATGCTTGCGATTTTAGATACATACATTCCGAAAAGTAACAGCCAGGATGAGGGGTTTCCTTTCAGCGATAAAGAGCACGTTTAGGTTTTGGAGGCGATGAATCTCACAAGATTGGCATCGGCCCATTCGAAGACTGCCTACAGTAAGAGATTTGTACGCTCAAACGTAGTTTCTCTTTTGGACTGGAATTACATAGACATTAGTATTTTTTAATAACTATAACTTTATATACCTCTATCACTTTCTGGAAAACGTCTTGATAGACAAATGGACGGACAACTAGCTAACTACTACTAGACTAACTAGAGATACGGAACACTAAAATCGCCTAAGTATGTACAAAGTAACTCTTCTTGAGAGAGGCCAGTGTTCTGAATTTGACATCCACGGACCAACAAGATATTAAATATGTTTACAGAGCAATCATACTTTCAAAATATTCTAATATATTAAGTTGCAGTAAATGAGGACCATATAATTCGTATGCGTAAGATTGTTAATTCAGTCACGCGGGTGTTTAACGGTCGGCTGCGTTACTAAGTAATTAGAATCTGTTCGCAAGAGATTTGAGAGCAATGAATCGACTAAGTAGCGTTTTTGTTGTGTTGGTGTTGTGCCGTCAGTATGTTTTTTTTTATAATATTATAGTGACAACCAAAACAAACTTAAAAACAAGTGATAAATAAAAAAAATATACAACCGACTTCAATATAAATAAAATGAGAACATCATCAATGTAGTGGAAGTCAATTAAATACGCATTCTTAAAGATAGCTCATAAACTACTTGTCAGATCTTGATCAAATTTATATGCGAACACATGAGCAGCACCAGCTTTGAAATTTAAAAAAAGAATCTACAAAATCGGTTCACCTAGAAAAAAGTCGTGAGGTAACAAACATAAAAAAAATACAATCGTATTTAGTACATTTAGCCAGTTAAAACGTTTTCATCCAGGAATACTAATAATTTGTATATCTTTCCGATATGTTATCGGTATTTAATAGAATCAGGCGTTACTTTGCGGAAATCCATTATATTAATGATATAAATTATTTAGCTAAAATCCGCATAAAATAAAGTCTTTTAGAAGAAAAAAAAATTTTTTTTAAGACTTACGATGAACTTTTAAAATCTTGGCCATAGCTATGTACTCAAAAAAGTGACATAATTAAAAAGAAAACTATTAATAATAATATAATCAAGTAAGTGAAATTATCACCCCATTTCATTTAGTGGGTGTCAGGAGCGGCAACTTTGGAAAATGCGAGATAGATCTAAATACTCAAAGCTTCCACAGATAGCGGTATAACTATTCCGATTAGAACAAATCTATACAAATAAATAAAATTGAAGTGTCTTTTTGTCATATCAAAATAACAGCTTTTTACTAAATGCATATGAAAGTATAAACGGTACTTATAACAAAAACACAATTTTTAAAATTTTTGTGTCTGTCTGTCCGTTTGATTCGGCTAATCCCCGAAATTGCTGGACCGATTTTGACGGGACTTTCACTGGTAGATAGCTCATGTTACAAGGAGTAATTAGGCTACTTATATTTTCGAAAAATAATTGGGTTCCGCGCAAAAAAATTAAAATCCTAAATTACACGCGGCCGAATTCGCGGGGAACAGCTAGTGTTGCATCATGTGCAGCGATTGTCTATCCGCCTGTTTGTTGAGAGATGGTAACGCCAGTTTATTTTAACATAATGGTTCTCATATAATATTTAGTATGAACTTATGTATATTTAACCTTATAATACCCTATTTATTATATTTATCATTTTCTGGAATTTTGGTTTAAAAGTGTTTACCACTTAATAAATTACAAATTTTTTGTAGTCTAGTAACCCGCATTAAAATATTGTATTTGTTTATCATAAACTGTATTCGCTACGCTTCGACAGTTACTTCTTTTTTGTTACGCTAAGACAGTGCGATTTACCACCTAGGGCTGCATCACTACAAGGTGGGATTGTGGTCAAGCACTGGCTTATAATAAGTAAAAAAAAATCAAGTCTGCATACTCCAGTTAAATAAAAATCAATATAGGAAATAATCTACCTGGGGAGTTTTGGCGGGAACTTGACCGGCGGCGGTTTGCTGCTCCTGTATTATTGTTTAAATAATGGTTTGAAGTGGATTTTGATATGTAAAAGTGGTGCGATTTTGTGTATTAAGTGTCTGCGTATGTGAACTATTAGTGGAAACGGTGAAACAAGTGCTCTAATTGTGATGTGATTCTCAAAATAAGGTTGTCTGCTTAGGCGCCTTGAGATACCATTGCCAACTGTCTGCTGGCTCAAGTTGCGGTCGAAATCTCCCAAGGATTTCACAATGTGACACATCAACATATTGTGAAGCAGTGTACTATGAAGAATTATAATATACATTTGCAATATGAAGGATAATTATACATTGAAAAATGAAAGACATGGCTTACGCACAAACCGTACAGGCCAAGATATGGAAGAAAAAAAAATTTACTTGCAGTTCGAAATTATCAAGAAATATTATAAATTTATAAGTTAACTAACCAAAGTTGCCGTGTAGCGGTGGTGCAAGAATAGCGAACACCTCATATCGTCCCGTGAGTGTCGTAATAGATAGAGGCAACAGAAATTATTTATACGTGGTAGAACCATATGAAGGATAAAGAGAGCCAATATAATTAGAGCCATGCTGCACCTATATTAGAAGTATAGTTGTAGTACGAATGGCTCGGCTCGACCGGGTAAACCATGCTTTCGTATGGTGAGTGTAGAGAACCGGAGACCCTTTTTACTGGAATAGAGGCATTCCATCTTAGTCCTCACGAGTGACAACGCATCTGCGTTTTGATTCGCAAACGAAGATAAATGTAGATGTCTATAGGGCACAGCAACCACTTACCATCATGTGGACTGTGTGCTCGTTTGTCACCCTATCCTACAAAAAAAGGCTGTGAGGAATTCCATCCTAGTCTTCAGAAGTGATAACGCAACTATAGTCTTCTTTGTTTGAAGTAAGCCGCAGGTGTACATGGATTGCAGAAGCAGTATTCCATCAGTACTGTAAGTTTGTTTGTTGTTTCAGTTTTATAAACAAGGCCTTTTATACACATAAATTACACGTAGACAATATACCCACTGAGCTACCACGGTTCACCTGAACATCCTATCTTCTACTGCAGCTATATTATGGTAGTAGCACGAATGGGTCGGCTCGAGCGGGGTAGGAGCGCGCTCTCACAGAATACCAGCGTAAAATAGTAACTTAATGCTGTCGTGTTTTGTATGGTGAGTGTAGAGAACCGGAGACTCCTTTTACTGGAAACGAAGTATTCCATCCTAGTTCTCGGGAGTGACAACGCATTTTTTTATAGTATAGGGTAACATCGAGCACACATTCCACCTGATGGTAAGTGGTTGCTGTGTGCCATAGACATCTACATTTATCCTCGTTTGCGAATCAAAATGCAGATGCGTTGCTAACCATGAGGACTAAGATGGAATGCCTCGTTTCCAGTAAAAAAGGTCTCTGGTTCTCTACACTCACCATACATACAGCAGTGTTAAGCTGCTATTTGACGCTGGTATTCTGTGTGAGCGTGCTCCTTCCCCGGTCTAGCCGACCCATTCGTGCTACAATTATACTACTAATAGCTGCAGCATGGCTCTACCACGCATTTTTATTTTGATTCTTAATCGAGGATAAATGTAGACGTCTATAAAAAAAGAGGGAAAGTGGAACAGGAAATGAGCAGCAGCATCTTTTTGATAACAACTTAAAATTATAAAAAGGAAACTGATGTTGCTGACTTACTAAGCGTGGAAACTATGGCAAAATGCCCTCTATGAGGCAATATATGCGCGGACATCAGTGTTCAACAGTGGACTTTTATAGGCTCTAATTGAGGAATGGATAGGTTATATACTTCAATTATGTAAAAACCAATAAAGAAAATTATCTAGTTATTTCCAAATTATCAATAAAATTGCGTATAGGTTAATAAACCAAAGTTTGTTCGTTGAATAAATGAAAGCAATTTTTGACTGTAAAAGAAATAATATCATAGTTGAAATTTGAACAATACTAAGTAAGTATTTATTGCTATTATATGTTAGCTGAAATATGTAACATTCCTATGCAAACTCTATCAGTCCTTTCATTTAGTACGTAGGTAACCTTCGGTGAGAGTGGCCGTAGCTCCCGCTCAAAGGTTTCGCGAAAACTCGAACAAATTAGATTGTGTATGAACGAAAGTTTTACTTCAATAACGCGAATACCATAAACAATGGGTAAGCAAATTGTTATTAATGTTTTTATTTATTAAACATTATAATGTATATTTATCGTTTTAAATTAATTCATTTTAAATTGACGCGTTCTTTTGTAAAATTTAAAATGCACGAAAATCTAGGACTATATGAATTTACGATAAGTATAAAAGATAAGTTCATTTAGGTAACTTTAATATTTTTTATTTTGTGTAAAATTCTTCTATGAGACAAATAAAATCTATTTATAATTACAAAATTTTTGTTTACACTAAAGGCAGCGTTGGTATTACTTATTCAGTAATTAGAACACTTATCTTCAATCATGAATTTGTAATAAAAATATATGTCATAAGAATTTAAATAAATTTCTAAAGATGTTTTGTACAAAGAAATGATGACAAAATTTTCAATCGCATAGTTCTTGCGTCTCTACATTTATTTAATTTATAAGTTATCTTCGTAAGTCATGTAGACAAGTTTCTCATGCAGAATTAAACGTTTTATTCTTCAAAAATACAAAAGACTGTATAAATAAAAAGGGACAGTAACAATTTAAATACAATTTAAATTACAATACAGAATTATTGCGTGAAGTATTTTACAATTATGACGTTTGTTTCTATTCATCCATTCATTACGGCTTATAAAAGTCGATTGCTGACCCATACATTGCCTCATGTGGAAAATTTTGCAACAGTTGCCACGCTTGGCAGACGGGTTGCCAACCGCAATTTTTTAATAATTCTAGTTGTTATCGGGAAGATGTTTTGTCTAATAAAGGTCAAAGTCAAATATTTTTATTCAAAAAGGATTTTACAGAGCACTTTTTTAAACGCTAATGCTTCGCCATCGCCTCAACAAGTCCCTACTGCGGGGAGACCTTGTGAGAAGAAGAGCGGAAAAAGCAAAGATACTAACAAGTAGACTATTTTTTCCCACCAGTAACGATTTAACCTTATAAAATATAGAAGTCTATAAAAGCCCATTGTGTTCATGCATTCTTATCATTCAAATAGTCGTCTAGATTATTATATCCTATTTCATAACATTTTGACATGCATTTTGAATTTATGCAAAGGCAAATCAGTTAATTTACACGAAATCTTGTTAGAAATAGTTATACATTTACCCAAAAACTAAAAAGACAGTATCTACGTTAGGATTCTCGTGAATCGTAGAGGCGTTTTGTATAATATATAAATTGCACATGGAAAAATATTCTGACCACATTATTACCGACTGCAATACCTAACTTTCATGCCGTCGCAATAATACCATGCACAATAATTTTACGGCGACATTATACGTATTTCTACACTGCATTACACAAAACACCCCATGAAAAATCCACTCTTGAAAACAGGCTTACCCAAAGAAATGACACACAGTATGTTTCTGAAACACCTGTATCCATCGGTTTCTTGCATTACCTTATACTTATGTTACCAGTTCGAGGTAACTACCCGAGGGGCTTCTTTCTCCATCGGTTGTCGATTTTAAGAGCTACATGGCTGGCACATTGACATGTCGGATTACTGTAGTTATAGTTACAGTTTGCAGTTTCTCCATAGTTCGCTAAGCAACCTTGAGTTTCCCCATATGGACAGCGGTGGAGGAGCACGTCTCAGATTCATATGTCATCACATGTCACTCACACTGGTGGTACACTCTTGTTTTCAAGTTTTGAGGTGTACGCGAAGAGAAGATGTGCCGTAATCTTCCGAATGTTACCCAGACGAGTTGGATCCGTTGATTGACCTCACGATCGCAGCCGGAATATACTTAGCCCGATGATAATTTGTCTTAGGTAAACATACTTGGAAACAACAAAGAGCGTAGTCCTCCTTAGTTTTGACGTGGTAAAGCTACGCTGCAGCTATACTATGGTTGTAGTACGAATGGGTCGGCTCGACCGGAAAAGGACAACGCTCTCATAGAATACCAGCGTAAAATAGCAGCTTAATAGTGTTTAGTATGGTGTGTAGAGAACGGGAGACTGTTTTTACTGGATACGAGGCATTCCATGTTAGTCCTTATGGAGGACAACGCAACTGAATTTTCATTTGTAATCGAGGATAAATGTAGATGTCTATGGGGCACAGCATCCACTTACCATCAGGTGGATTGTGTGTTCGTTTGCCACCTTTTTTCTATTAAAAAAACTCATGGCATAGTTGTAACATGGACACAAACATGATCTTGGTCTTGATTGATTGTTGTTCATTACTTTTTTGTTATTACTTTATTCTCATGGTTGATAATAACTCCTGGGAATGAGGTGGTCGCTTCCAAGCTGTTTCTAAAATAAATGTTGTAAATAGTTTGTAATCATGTATATTGTATAATTTAAAAGGCATATTTAGTCTTAATAATCTAATATTTGAACTAGAGTCAGTTTCAATAAGCAAGTCCTTAGAAAAATATGCTGACTAAAACTTAAAGTATGTTGAAATTAATTCCACAGCAAATGCAAAATTTTGCGAAGACTGTGGCACCACGTCTTTTTTTATGGCATAAGGATGACAAACAGGTACATTCCACCTGATGGTAAGTGGATGCTGTGGTCCATGGACATCTACATTTATCTTCGATTAAGAATCAAAATGCAGATACGTTGTCACCCTTAAGCACTAAAATGGAAAGTCTCCTTTCCAGTAAAAGGGTATAGGGGAGACAAACAAGCACACAGTCCACCTGATGGTAAGTCGTTGCTGCGGCCCATAGACATTTACATCTATCCTCAATTACAAATCAAAATTCAGATGCGTTGTCACCCTTGAGGACTAAGATGGAATGCCTCTTTTCCAGTAAAAAGGGTTTCCCGTTCTGTATATTCTCTAGGTTCTCTCGCTGGTATTCTGTGAGAGTGTGGTCCATCCCCGGTCGAGCCGACCCATTCGTGCTACAACTATACTACTAATATAGCTGCAGCATGGCACTACCACGTAATAAAATTCTATTACACACACAGCAGCATTAAGTTTCTATTTTACGCTGGTATTATGTGAGAGCTTGGTCCTACCCTAGTCGAACCGCCTCTTTCGTGCTACAACCATAATATAACTGTAGAATGACTACCGCGTCTGGGTCAGGTTCAGGTTCCGGGCCTTCTTTCGTAACAAAAACTATTTTTTAAAGTCATACTATCAATAAATCTTACTTTGTAACAAGACCAACTATGAGCATTTTACGTAGATATTTAATAATAACAAATGCATTCAAACATGGCTTCATATAATATATTCCTACTCATCTAGTATAATGCATTTTTATATCTCCCTATGAAGCAATCTATGGTAGAGTCCTACCTTCAGCAGTGGACTTTTATAAGCTGTAATCGTAAAGTAAAGTATATATCTGGGACTTGTTTAGTTTACATGAAATATATTTTTTTACTTGAGTGTTATACATGTGAGATATTGTGTGATAAGAAAAAAGTGTGATTTGCAAGATGGTTTGGTCATGAAGAAAGAATGAACAAGGAAAGCGTGATAAATAAAAATTATGTTGGAGGAGTGAATGGGACAGTTGCCAAGTCGGCTGTCGCCCTACACGGAAGTTTATTGACCGAATTAGTGATAAATTGCCAAATTATGAGTACCCTTAACCGATGAGTATGTATGCGTAGGAACGTGAAGGAATAGAGAAAGGTGTGTCAGGATCGTGCCAAACGGAAATCCATAGACTCTGTCTGCCCCTCTGGGAGGCAGGTGTGAACTATTATGTATATCTAGATAAATCCATCCTCGAAAAATGACAAGTCTGTGCCCATAAATGGAAATTTTAAGGGCTGTAGCTTTTACCATAATGTTTTATGTATGTGATAAGTATAATTACAGATTGCAAAAAAACTCTGACTCAAAGAACTTAAACAAAAAAAATCCACTTAATAGCTTCAGATGTCGGTTTGAAGACATTGTGTACAGAAGTTTTTTTTTTTATAGGATAGGGTGACAAACGAGCACACAGTCCACGTGATGGTAAGTGGTTGCTGTGACCCGTAGACATCTACATTTATCCTCAATAAAGAATCAAAATGCAGATGCGTCGTCACCCATGAGGACTAAGATGGAGTGCCTCTTTTCCAGTTAAATAGGTCGCCGGTTCTCTAAACTCACCGTACGAAACACAACAGTCAAGCTGCCATTTACGCTGGTATTCTGTGAGAGCGTGGTCCTTCCCCGGTCGAGTCGACCCATTTGTGCTACAACCATACTACTAATATAGCTGCAGCATGGCTTACCACGTATAAGAAGTAGCCGTATTAAAGCCCTGACTTCTGAAGCCATTTTTTTTTAAATGGGCTCACTCCTGACCTCCATCTGGCCCGAAGGTATAGATGAGGTCTACGATGGAGTGAGTTTGCCCAGGAGAAACCTGTTAACACGCACCTCGAAATGGTCCAAGTTATAGGCACTCAGAAAAAAAGACGCCGGCAGGGCATTCCACTACTTGGCTTACTTAGAGCGCTTAGTGCGAATATTCGGAATTTCAAACAAGTGTGGATGGTAACCTGCTGAACGTTTGGTAATGGCTATTCATTAGGATTCCGATAGGAGAGTAAAATATACATATATAGCTGTAGCCCTGCAGTTTCATTCACATTCCAGAGGCACTATTTCATGTACCTGGATAAAAAGTATCGTATATCTTTCTCCGGGTCGTGAGACGTCCTTTGTAAATTGGTTTAATAGTTGAGGCATCAAGAATTAACAAACAGACACACCTTCGAGTTTATAATATTATAACGCAAAGTATGGATTAATAAACATAAGTATTTTATTATGGTATATATAAAAATAAGTAATATTTAATAAGCTCACATTATTTTTTTGTGTCTGAATTACGCTAGTAATGTTCAATGGTCTGAATGTTTTATTTCCGTAATATATAAAATCATCTTTCATATCTTAACATAACTAGAGTAAAAATACAAAAAAAAATACTTTTTTTAATTTTGCGCCTCGACCTCTCCCTTTCACGTTAAAAATAAAAATTATAGTATTTTTAAAAATTAT